GTACATCATGTACCAGGTTCTACTGAGCTACTAGTTTTTAAAAATGACTGAATGGACAAATCACGATTCCCCTCAAAACAGAAAAAATGATTCAGGGCAATTTAAAATGGTTTGAGGTGATTCAATCATGAATCAATCATGAATGCCATCCAAAAACTAGCTCAGTAGAACCTAGTAGACTTTCTACGTGAAGTTCTTACTACTAACTTCAAATCGAAGTTTAGAACTTCAAATTAAAACTTTTTGCTCTCTGGGCAAGAGCACTTGCGTGCTGCGCAAGACAATGATCAATTGTTACAAAACTCATAGTACTCTGAAATAGGAATGACTTCAACTGAAATATTTTTTTACAGGTTGAAGGTAAGGGTGTTATATATCGCACTGTTCTTTGTGTAGGCCTGTGTAGAAAAAGTACTGCAAAATGTCTGTCACACAATAAATCACACCACAACCCAGTACGGGTTAAAGTTGGAAACAGTGCGTGACAGGTCCAAAACTGGTAGGATTTCTACAGGGCTCTATGACAAACCTAATGGCAGTATTTTAGAGTCAGTTCCAAGTAGAACCCAAACAAACCAAAAAGCGGCTACTTCACACCCTAAAAGGAACCCGGTAGGGAGCAAATTTTTAATTTTGGAGCACTTCTGAGCTGTTTTTGTTGCTCACTTTTTGAGAATTCCAATCGGCAAAACAAAATCAAAATTGATTTCTGGAGGACACTGCTATTAATATGAAATAAAAATTGAAATTGAAATTGATTCCAAGAACAGATTTGTCTACAATAAAACTGTTACTGCTGGCACTCACACTTAACCATTGAATCCTGCATCACTCAACGTATTGGCAGCTGCTCATTTTTGTTTTCATGCACAACCAGTCCTGCTGTGTTTGGATCTGTTGTCAAATCAATTGAACCATCTAGCAACACAATCAATTTGTGGGCAACATTCTTGTCATGTAGACATTTCCTTGTGAATGGCGCAATTCCAATTGTTTGTCATAAATCTTTGTATCTCTCAACAGAAAATGCCTTTTCAAATGCATACATTCCATCAATCCAGTCTACCATAAACTAGCAATGGGTAATCTGATTGACGTACGTTCTCACCATTGTGCTTGCATTGGTGATGTGCCAGTTTCTTCAAGTTCTTCTGGTATAGTGTACTGAAATATCCATAATTACAGTCTGTCAGTTGTGTTACATGAGTAATGTTTGGCACTCCAGGATGGAATAGCAAAAAAACACAAGCCACAACAGTTGCTACTAGCAAATCTTTGTTGTTTTTCCCTGGTCTGCTGTCAACAATTAACATCACTTGTTTGCCTGGAAGATCACATGCCTCAGGGTAAAGTTTAACAATTGCATTGAGTACATATTTTTCAAACTGCTCTGCATCCATTCCTGCAGTTTCATTGCAATTGACTGTTGCTCCTTTGAATGTCACACAATTTCCCCCTCCATATACGCCTTTAGTGTTTCGGACTTTGTTGTTGCTGCTGGTGCTGTTGTTGTTGTTGTTGTTGTTGTTG